ATCAGTAGATGAGTGGATAAAACAATGATGGGACATTTACACAATGGAATACTACTTGGCTGTAAAAAAAAAAAAGAAAATTTTACCCCTTGTGACAGGATGGATGGTTCTGGAGAACATTATGTTATGTGAAATAAGCCAGTCAGAGAAAGACAAATACCATGTGATTTCACTCATATGTGGAACCTAATGAACAAACTGAACTAACAAGCAAAACAGAGGCAGACTCAGGTGGAGAGCAGGAAGACAACTAGTTTGGGGAAGACATCAGGTGGTAGAGGGAGCAAAAAGGAAAAAGGACTCATGGACATGGACAACAGTGTGTTGATTCCTTGGGGAAACAAAGTATGAGGGGACTAAATGGTAATAGAAAAATACAATAAGGATTAAATTAAAAAAGACCAAAAAATTTTTAAAAATCAAAACAAAGTAGATGTCTCACACTTCCTGACTGCAAAACTTAATAAAAAGTCTGGTAATCAAAGTAGGGTGGTATTGGCATAGAGAAGATGTATAGATCAGTGAAACAGAGTACAGAACCCAGAGACAAACCCTCACGTATATGGTCAAGTGATTTTTGACAAGGGCGCCAAGACAGTGGGGGAAAGGACAATATTTTCAGGGAGGATGCTGGGGAAACTGGATTTCTACCTGCAGAAGAATGAAGTTGGGTTCTTAATTTACACCATTTACAAAAATTAATTCAACTTGGATCAAAGACCTAAATGTAAGAATTAAAAATATAAAAGACTTAGAAGAAAATATAGAAAAAAATTTCATGACAATGCATTTGGCAATGACTTTTTGAATATGACACCAAATGCAGAGGCAGCAAATAGGAAATGGATAAATTGGACTTAATCAAAATTAAAAACTTTGCTTATCAACACAGTGAAAAGACAACTCATGGAATATGGAATAGGAAAAAATATTTGAAAATTATGTATCTGGTGAGGAATTACTATCCAGACTATTTAAGGACATCCTACATCTCAGTAGCAGAGAACAAACAATCTAATTAAAAAATGGGCCAAGGCCTTGATGCCCTGGCTGGTGTAGTTCAGTTGGTTGATGTGTTATCCCACAACTGAAAGGTTGAGGGTTTGATTCCTGGTCAGGGCATATACATGGATTACAGGTTCAGTCCCTGGTAGGGATGTATGGGATGCAACCAATCGATGTTTCTTTCTCACAAGGATGCTTCTCTCTCTTTCTTTTCTCTTTAAAAGCAATGAAAAAGATGTCCCCAGGTGAGGATTAAAAAAATGGGCCAAGGATTTAAATAGACATTTCTCTAAAGAAGGTATACAGATGCCAATAACCACGTGAAAGATGCTCAATATTACTAATTACTACAAAAATGTAAATTGAAATCACAGTGTGATACCACTTCACTCCCATTAAGATGTCTGTTATTAAAACGCACAAAAGAACAAGTGCGAGCCAGGATGTGAAGGAACAGGGGCCTTGGGCACAGCTGGTCGGAATGTGAAATGGTGTAGCCATTGTAAGAGGTGTGTAAAAATAGATACCTCAAAGGATCCAAAATTCAATGTCTGTGTATATTACCCAAACGTGTGCAAAATGGGGATTCAGTAGGTATTCGTACATTCATATTCAGAGAAGCATTATTCACAATAGCCAAAAGGTGCAAGCATCTTATGTCTATCGATGGATGAATGGATAAACAGAATGTGGTGCATACGTACGAAAGACTATTACTCAGCCTTAAAAGGGAAGGAAATTCTGACACATTACAAGATGGAGTAACCTGTAGAATATTAGGCTAAGTGTAATAAGCCAGGGACAAAAGGACCACTATTGTGTGATTCCACTTGTGAGGGAACTTGAGTAGTCAACCTCATAGAGAGAAACAAAAATTAAAATTGTAGCCAAGAGCCTGAGGGCAAGTGGAAACGGAGAGTTCATGTTTAATGGATACAGAATTTCAGTGTGGGAAAATAAAAACAGTTCTGGAGTTGGGCAGTGGTCATGGTTGCACTATACAGTGAGTACTGATGTCACAGAACTGAACACTTAAAAACTGTTAAAATTATAAATTTTATGTTATGTATATTCTACCACAATAAGGAAGTTAAGTGCAAATATGTTTGGGAGATTTGGTGGTTGCAGGAAAATAGCAGAACTGTAATACATTGGAAAATAATGCATATTTAAACCTAGGAGAAAGTGCGACATGGCAGTATTTCTCACTTTTGGCAAAATTCACAAAATTGAATGGCATTTGGATTATTTTGTACCCCCTATTCCATGACTGATTGATTCAAGATTTAGACATACATGTGGTTAGGCAATTATCCATGGTAACTTTGGAACTCAAGCTTGGCATTCATCCTCTGTCTGGAAGCAAAGTGGCCAGGCATTAAAAAACTTGGTAACAGTATGTAAGCAAATAAAATTCTGTTATTCAGCAGTAAGGGTTTGTGTTTCTTTCCTTTCTATTCCACAAAGCGTTAAAAGTTCTAGACCAGGAGCAGTTACAGGATAACAAAAGAAACAAGTAATTTGTAGCAGGTGGTTCTAATTGTGCCCATCAAACCTGTCGCTCAATTGTGCAGAAGAGTGGAAAATCAATTAGCAACTACAAGGTTGGGTGCTGGTGAGTGACAGGAGTGTCTTAACTCAAAGGGAAATCAGTAATGGAAGAAAATGATTACCAAGGCTGCTAGTGGACACTGCTAGATCTGAGGAGAATTTCCACCTACTGCCTAACTTTCCCAGACAAAAGATGCTGTTGGAAAATATTTGAACATGTTTTGTCACCCAAGAGCAGTACAGTGTAAGTCTTTATTTCTTAGCTGTTGGGGTCCGAATGAATAAAATCAGGAGTATGGGGCCCTTCCTTCCCTCAACTTGCATGTCCCATGTTGGAGTCACTGCTTTGGATGTAGGAATGTTTGCAGCACAGTGCACATGCATGTTACCTGCCTGGGACAGATGCATCCCTGGGGGTAACTTGGGGGCTTGGCTGGTGACTGACAGCATGACAGCACAAGGTCACCTGGGTGGGCCTTGGAGGTTGAGGCTGGGACAAAAACAAACTTACCTCTGCCATAATTCTGCTATAGAGTTGGACCAGACATGAGTACTGACTACTGAATACAATTATTCAAAGAAAAGTTTTAAATATTCATAGCATACTTTTGTATCCAGTATTGGGGGGAAATGAAACAGTATTTTATTTTTCTAAACACTTTCTATCCTTTGCACAAAGTCCCCAGAGGTGTTTAGAAAATGAAGTGTTTGAGCTCTAACAAATTTCTGCCTTACCTGGAGTCATCTTGGCACTGTGGGTTATCTGTGATGTCACCTTGAGTTTATCCACTTACTGTGTTATTCTACTTTCTTTACTTGTTTTATATATCTATTAATATGAGATATATCTATCTTAGCTGCTGACCTGCAAGTAGCATCTGGACAATTACACCACGCCTTTTATTTCTTTTGTACAACATGCCAATATGGTGCCTTTCACAAAATAGATGTTCAGTAAAAAATTTTCTAATAAACTCTTGACTATTGAACTTTTACAAAGTCAGATAACATATGAAAAGTCATTAACACAGTAACAGGTATGTGACAGGCACTCAATTAACATAAACATGCATATATACACAAACAAAAAAGAAAGGAAAGCAAATCAACATTTAAAAAAACACAAAACAGGCTTATTTTCACCAGGGAAAACATAATTAATTAAAAAATAATTAACAAAAGATCATAGTTTCATTGTTCCGGCTCCTAAATAAAGTCCTATGTTGACTCACTGACTGAAGACTTCCAACCTAAGGTTCTTGAAACCTTTTGGGTGGATTAACAAATTGAGGATAAAGGTTTTTTCCCCACCTGGTAGCTATTCTGGGAAGACAATGACAGAACTAAAGACAGTACTAGCTACATCAAAGGTAGAGCTATACTCCCAAGCAAGGGTCTCCTAAGCATAAAATGTTCACCAGGCAATTTATTTTGCCAAATACTGTCCATTTATTCCTGGATGTGTGTGTGCTCACTTACACATATGACTTTCTGTGCATTGTTCTGAGGACAACTGGGAAAGAGAGTGAGAAATCAAGAAGGTAAGGGGGAAGGAAATACTGGTGGCTTTGAATATTGACTCCCTACGTGGGGCGAGCAGAGAAAGCACACAGGAGTCCCTCCTGCAGGTTAGACCTATGTTAAAGGGTCTCTAGATGAAACCATAGCACTATTGTCCCATTTCCTGGTATCTGTATATATTTTTAAAGGCAATGGCCAGTAAAAAAGTAAGTGATTTGCCTTGCAGATATAGTTTTCCTGTGGAACTGCTGAAGAGTTCTATCTTGCTTTTGTCTTCAGCAGGGAGGAGTCAATTGCACAGCCCTCACTGTCCTCCTGATATGACAGTGATGCTGAGGTCACTTTGGCTGTTGGTGCATTTACCCTCTGTTGCACATCGGCAGCCTGCTGTGACTTGCATGGAGTGTCAACCAGCTCCTCCGTCAGCATTGCATCAAGAAGACGCCTGTGCACTGAGAGGACTAGCTCTACTCATAGACCTAAGAAGCAGTGGGGAAGCACCTGACCGACCATTGGAAACCTCCAGTTCGGTTATACTTACTTTTGTTGAAGGGGGAATAGAACTAAAAAACACAACGTGACTCACACATATTAAATTTTAAAAATGTAATATTAAATAACATTTTTCTATTATACAAAGAAGATAAAATCTAAATATAACAATATATTAGTGAAGGCAGATAATAAATGTTTATGGGAAGTAAAAGTCACCTTAAATTTTACTATTTGTTACTCAAAAATCAATTTAGGAATCACAGTGTGTAATTTAAATTCACCTCAATGTGTAATCGACATAATCTAATACTCCAGTGTGTAGCACACTTACATTTTGATGAGTTACTGACTATGGTTAGATTTTTATTATTCCAAGAACCCACATGTCAAAGCACAGTCATGTTTCTGAGAGGAAACTTCTACTTTACCTGTTCGTAATGGTTACGAGTGCAGGAGGGCAGTAATAGCCACTGGACGCATGGTCAAAGTTCCGAAGGACCATGTCCATTTTGTAACAGAACCCACCGTGTCTCTCCCATCCCTTAAAAAGAAGAAAGTTAAAGACATAATCTAATTTAGTAAGATTTTCTTGTATATTCTCACTTATCACTTACTTATCTTTCTTCTCCGACCCATGCAAAACTTAATTTTGTCTTGATATCTTTGTATTGACTCTAACTGGTAATGCTATTAGCTATAGCCACTTCTAGATTTATTTAATTCTTAAAACCTAAAACCCTAAAAGCAAATGAAAAGGAAGGGGCACTTTCTCAAGATCTTGCTCGGTCTCCTACACAGACACACACACAGAGGGAGGGAGGGAGGTCAAACCTACAGAATTTCATACCAATGGTTCCTACGGGCTGGTAGAAATTAAGAGTGTTTCCTCTGAAGACAGACTCCATGGGTTTGCACCCTGGCTCTGCCCTTATGTGACTTTATTTACTCTCTCCATGTCTCTGTAAACCAGGTAGTGACAGTGTCCATGGGGCCTCCCTGAGACTCAAAGGAGACAGTGCAGGCAGAGACCACCGAACAGAAACAGGGTCTCAGTCTGAGCAAAGAGGACACATGCACCTAGATCGCAATGTATATTTCCCCCAACTTTCTTCCATTCTGGTTACTTCTTGTTATCCCCCTGAGATGTGCTGAGGTTCAGGACTTGGATAGTCACAGACTCATAGATGAGGGGACCTGGAACCCAATTCTGTGGCAACCTAGGGTAGTCTCGGCTGGATCATAATGCATCCGAATAGAGACTGGGCAGAATATATATTTCTGGCAAATTTTTTTCCTAAATCGATTGGCTAGCCTTTTAGAAAGGAAGAAAGCAAGCTGTGGTACTCAGACAAAAATGACAAATGTGTGGTCTGTGGCTCCTCCCTGGCAGCAATGGAGGGTGCTGTTCTTAAAAATTATGTAGTATAGGAGACATACATTCTATGTTTTCTATGTTTTGACTGAGTTATTTTCTTTCTTTTCCTTTCAACATAATAAAATCACACCAGTTATACCTGCTTTTGCATAGTCACCAATTTAAAAATACACTTTATTTCGGGTCATGCCAATGCTTGCTGGAATTTGATCATCTATAAAATGATTTCTGCTATAATCTTGGTCTTGCCATAAATTAAATAAAACCTTATTTTAGAAATCAGCTATTTTAGTTCAAAACATATTGTTGAACAAGGTGTGGATTATAGGAGCCCCCAGCCAGCCAGCCAGGCTGTGCTCTGAAGTCACTGACCATTAACACTGACCCCAGCCAGGTCTGCGTGGGTAGCTGAGAGCTCCAGCCAGAGCCCCTCCAGGGATCTCTCCAGACACGGTCGGCCAGAGGAGGGACTGCTTTTGTGTTTGGAAGAACAGGTGGAGGAGCCTGATGATTTGACCTTTCTGACAAAGTATTCTTTCTTCAGGAGTAATTTTTAGATCACAGGCTTCTTAGCAAAAAAAAAAAAAAAAAAAAAAATCTAAGAACTGAACCAGCTCAAAAAATTGTGGCATAGTAATAACCAGAAACACAAAGACTCTTTACTATAAGCCTTTGTACATATAATGAAAGTGGAAAGAATAATTGATTGTATCCATGTATCCTTTGTACATGAAGTACCATTTCATTTTACATGAAGTGAGGATGACAATACTGAGATAATTGCTCATATTGTGTAATCCCCCCAGAAGCGACTCAGATGGAAAAATAAATCTTTTTCTTTGCTTTGAAATGATCAAGACTTATTTTATAAATTAATTTATAAACAGTCTGTATGTGCAGACTGTTTACTGATTTACGTTGAAGCAATTGGTTAAAAGAAAGGAATCTTTTGAAACCATACTCACAGACTAATGATGCAAAAAGAGATGGGAATTTTGCAATAAAGTTAGAGAACTGGGTCTGAACCCAGAATCTGTACATGCTGGTACTGCTGGCCAGAAAAGGGAAACTGGACAAGGTCTGAGCAGAACATCAGTTCTGCTTCTGCTGCGTAAAAAGTTAATTGTCCTTTCAATTGCCTTGAAAGACATATTGAGATAATTTTTTCAGTATTTCTGGTTAGATAGAGATTATATTACTGATCAGTTATAACTAATTCAGGAATTATAATTATTAGGTAAGATGTCGAGTAAGATGTGAGCTACAGCATGTGTACTGTTCAGTGAGAGTATGAAGATTTGTTTGTTTAAATATTGATTAATAAATAAAATACAGTTTTTGGAGAGACGGAGTTTGTTTAATCAGAACATAAATAATAGGATTAGAAAAGATAAGAATTCAAGCAGGCCTGCATAGAAACCCAGTTTGGGAAAATGTTGATACTCATACAAGCTAAAAATCTCCAATATTTAAAATCCAAATTCGTGTGTGTGTGTGTGTGTGTGTGTGAGAGAGAGAGAGAGAGAGAGAGAGAGAAGGCATGTATTGAAGACTCTGATAGGTATTTTTTGGTAACTTTACTGCAGAATATTAAATGTATTTTAAGAAATTTAAAACATAATTTTCTACCTTGTAAGTTTAAACCTAAAGTATTTTTTATTATTTAAAGTACTGAAAACTCTTTATTATTTAAAATGCTATTTTTATTAGCCCTTTCCCAAATAATAAATCCAAAAAAACCCCAAAACAGAAATGGAATTAACTTCTAGAGGATTGGCCCCACATAGTACAGGCTTCCCTTCCTAGGTGAGTGGTCTAGAGACCCATCTGTATCAGCGTACTAGCTGGCACTGTTGGAAGAAGCTGTGTTTAGCTTTAGTGAATTTTTCTGAAGACTAAAGAGCCTTTTTTGAAGACTCTTTCAGTGTGTTTGTCCATTTCATGATGGGTGATTTACGAGCGCACCTGCCCACACTGCACTGAGTGTTGGGCATTTTTTGACCAAAAAGGGCATGACCCCCAGGCCCCTATTCATCTGATCGCATTCTGAGCAACTGTTTTTTGTTTCCCTCAGGGAAAAAGTCCTCAAAGGGAAACATTTTGTCCATGTGGAAGAGGTGAAACAAAAACTGGCAGAAGCACTAAAGGCACTAAAACTAACAAGTTCAAAAACTATTCTGAGCAGTGGAAAAAATGTCTTCATTTTTTGGAGACATGTCTCCAATGTCTCCATTGCATCAAATGGAGAGTACTTTGAAGGCGACTGGAGTTTAAACATGTTAAAATAAATACACAATTGTTTACAAATAAATTCCGATATTTTGGGATCCCCCCTCATATTTTTTGAGCACACACTTCTTTCCCTTATTGTATCTAGTCAAATATTTAAGTTTAAGGAAAGTGAACAGGGGAGCGAGAGTTTGGATACAGAAGTTCACTTTCTGACTCAAAGGAATGCATTGGCCATACCCTGACATCCCACTGGATGACCATGAGAACCCCAGTAAGGGAGGGCACTACATGACACTCATCGATGTACAGATGGCATGATAGAATCATTCGCATTCTTTTTAATCAAAAGAAACAGTTGAAGAGGATGGCAAGAAAATCTTCACAGAGCTGTAAATCCTTCATGTGACTCTAGCTGTAAATCCAATTATGCGATCATTGTTTTGTTAAATGTAGCCCACATTCAGAAAAAAAATGGAGGAGGGAAGGAAGAAAGGAATAGCGGGAAGGGGAGCAAGGGCAGGAGAGAGAGGTTCTCTTTAAGTTGATGATAAATAAATTATTGTTATGAAGTCCCTGCACCTAAATCACAAAGTTAATGGTACTTACTTCTTGGCAGCCTGATCCAGCATCAGAAAGGACATGTCCTGCTCTCTTACAAATGTAAGAAAGTGTTTCTTCACAATTCTTAACTTTCCAGTGTCCTTCCTGAAGGGAAAAGTATTACAAGCTGAATGAATACATCCCATTACGGATGCTGATAGGCAACACCAATTATTTTGTGTCAAAACATGACTAATAATAAGTGTTACAGGATGGAGTAATGTATTAGGACCTTGTGTTGTCGTTGGAAAGTGTTGCTGCTCTCTCTACTTGTGAGTGGGAGGTCCTGCTTTCTCTCTAGCACATAAACAATTGTGGGACGTGCCATTCTGGACTGGTAGGCACCCGGGGAGGAGCAACCAGTTTTCTGGTGTGTGCCAGGCTTAACCATGAGTGACTCTCATATATTATTACCTCATCGTTCCTCTGAGGCACGCATTATTACTCCTACTCCAAGGACTAGGTTCGGTACTTTGCATTAAGTAATAAAGAGAAGCCCTGCAGACCTTCCCAATGGGGTCCTCAGTTACAGGAGAGTATAAGGCTCACTGTCGTTCCTTAATAACTATTGGGTGGAAGGATGACTGGATAGATAACTTCCCAGGTTCTCGTCTTTAAATTTAGGCTTCAACCATGCTTAGGTAACTTTTTAATTATAATAATTATATTCACATTACATTCTACTTCAAGGGAATAAATGTTACTTTTCATAGATCAACTGTTTAAGGAGCTACTGGTCCAACAATAAGGGGCCACCACGTATCACACTTACAGCAACGTTGTCCCCACACACCTGGTGATGTTAATACCTATCCTTACTCTCTTAAAGGTAATTTCTCTGTCCAAATGTTGGCTCCTTCTCTGTGAGCATGTGAAGTGAAATGTCCATGTTTGTCAAATAAAATGTGAGAACGTCAGTAGGGAGTGAAGGTCATCTCTGTTATATCAAAACTAATGAACCAACAAAGCATCAAATATTGTAGAACAAATCGTGGTATCTTTCAGCAGAGTTAGACCCAGGACAAACATTTAGAGAGGTCATTATTTGTTTTTCCTCAAGTGTGACTCTGAGACACTGCTTTACCAGTGTAATTGTAACTACACATGTCTGTGACAGCCTGAAATGACAGAACAATAAAAGACATCATAAAAGTAAGTGATTAGAAATGTTCTGTGTTTGGCTGGCACAATTACTTTGTCAAGCTGTTTAAGGAACATGGATAAACTGCTTTTTGGAGGAATTTGATATGGTATTCTGGTGGTTTGAAAGACTGAGGATGCCCTCCATATCCCAGTAAATTCCACAGATATCTGATCGAAAAGAGTAAGTCTATTCTTAACATATAATAAACCCTTCGAATGGCTTGGGATTAAACTAATTCTGCATAATCAGATGTTTTAGATGATTGAGTAGCTAAAGAATAGGGCTAAGTGTGATATTAAGGCCACTGGGACCATTACACTCATGTCAGGAAAAGAGCAAGATTTTCCACTGATTCACAGTTTTCAGAGGTTGCACACACTGTTGAAAGTCTTTTATGTTAAGAAAATAATGGACTTACAAACCATCACTCCCCAGAGTAATCTCTCAACACTGCAGTTCCTCCCCTCATCTTCACCATTGTAGATAACGGCACCACTGTCCTCCAAAATGGTGGTTGCTCGAGCTGAAAACCTACCTCTCTCACCCCCACTTCTCATTTAGCAACAATTCCTGTCTTCCAGAGGGTCCTGGAATCTGTCTGCTTGTCTCCACATTCACTACACCAATTCAACCACTGGAGTACCCTCCAAATTGGTTTCTCTGCTGCCATTTTATCCCTCTCCAATCTGTTCTCTATGTAGCAGCCACAGTGACTTCATTTCCTTGAAGCTCCATAGTGATTCCTGTATGGGGCCCACAAGCCTCACATTTCGCATTCCTCCTGCCCCACCTCCTGCCACCCCCTCACCATGCACCCCTTCTCAACACACTCGTCCTCTTTTTGTCATTACACATGGTGAGCCTTGGACTGCCTTTAAGCTTTTGCACTAGCTGCCTCTGTGTGGAATGTTCTTCTTACTCTTCAAGAGTTTTTTTTTAGCTGTTGTTCCTTAAGTCCCAGCTTAAATGTTACCTCTTCAGAGAGCCTTCCTTGACTGTCTTATCTGAGGCAGCTGCCCCAACCCAAGCTTCTCACCCTCATGTCAACCATTTGCTCAGAACTCTCATGACAACTGATTTTTCAGTCTTCTCAACTACCCTGATTTTTCTATGGCCACATGTTTACTGTCTAGCATGGAAGTTAGGTGAGGAGCAGGGCCTGTGCCTGGCTTGGTCTCTGCCACGGCCCAAGTCCTGGTGTCGGCGGCCCTCTGTACAAGTCCAGCAAAGTGAACACTGAACAAACAAATAAACTTACAGACTGCTCTGCTGAGACACATAACTGGCTTCTATTTGGAAAAATTTGTGGTTCAAGTGTGTGCCAATTAGTAAAGGTGACGGAGGAGCCATTAGACCATTCAAAGGAAACTGGAATTTTATTGCTGCTCAAACCAATCCATGTTTCTGATGCATTTTCTGTAAGAGATAAATATAAATTACTTACAGGAATTCTATTATATGCAAAGGAGATATTACACTGGGGCTATTACTAAAATGTACCTGTTTATATACCAAAATATACTTGCAAATCACTTTGCAAGTGATTTCTTCATGTAATGAAACCTGTTTAAGTCTTGGTAAAAATACCTGCTTATACCTTTCCCCCTATACAGTACTATCCGATCTGCTTGATACAGGCCTTGTTAAGTGAGATGGAGTGGGACCAAAAGCCCTGACCATGCCAGGACAATGCTTAAAAGCAAGTCAGGTTGCTGGGACTCCAGTTCCTGCTACTAGAGAGAAAGTAGATCTGAAAGGTCTATTTTTATTTCTGCCTAGAGAGAGAAAAATAGGAAGGTCTATTGGGTTAGAAAAGGGCACACATACAAAATAACTTTTAATGGTAGTCTAGCTTTATGATACATTTCTTCTTCTTTTTCTTTCTTCCCCTTGGGAAAAAGGAGCAGAAACTGTTAAAAGCGTGCAAATGGGAACAATGGGCTTGCCTGAAACATAGATGAAGTTAGACTGCCCAGGCAGGGTGAAAAGACCCTGCACAGCCGAGACAGATGTCCCAGTGCCCTGTTGCAATGGAGGCAGCCACGGGGTTCTTTGAAGCCTGAATGGGAAGGGTGAGGAGAAATGACAGAGGCAGGTTTTGATTTCATCCTAAACTAAAACTTAACTTGAGAAGGTCATCAGAATAGAGTCTAGAGAGGTTTTTTTTTTAAAATTTACTCTAAGTCAGTGATTTCAATATTCTCTGGCACAGTTCTGTGTTAAATACGTGACACAGGCAGAGACACACCTGCTCTGATGAACAGAAGCTGCGTGGAGGCCTAGGAACCTGGACTCCCAGACATGTTGCAAAGCTTGGAAACCATCGCACCAGATAAATGACCTATTTTCGCTGGTTAAAGCTATTTGAATCCAATTATTTGTCTCACCAATTCCCTTTATTGCTCAGATTACATGACCACAGTGCACCATTGCTATCTACTGGCCATATAACTAAATTACAGGTTTAGGTTTTTAAATTTTTTTCCCTTTAAATTAGAAGTTTCAGAAAATGATATATTCCCCTTTGAAAATATGTAAAAACATGTCATATATTTGGCATATGTGAGCTTTTACAAAGCTTCTGTGTGTGTATCTTGTAAAAACCCAATGAATCTGCAGTCCTGAGTCTTATTTAGAAGCTTCAGATACATATGCCACAAATAATCACTTGTAATAGCTTGATTTATTTTTTAATCCACTAACAAAGACAGTTCCTACATTATATTTCACGTCTCTTAAATCAAAGACATTTGGCACTCACTGTCTCCAAGGAGGGTCACAAGGAACTCCACGTCTGCTAGTGAAGCTATGTCTACCAGGGCACTGTTATCGGACTGGCAAGAATGCAGAGCCTCGTTCCAGGTCTTTCCTTCTTTCTGAAGTTTATAGCAATTATGACTGTGGGGATTCCAGCCAGGCTCACAGTGGGTGGCATAATATTTCCAAGCATCTTTTTCTTTTTAAACCAAAAAATAATAACAATAACAAAAAAAATATCACTTCCCACATTTAACAAACATAACACATTACTATTTAAAAAAAGATTTTATTTACTTATCTTTAGAGAAAGGTGAAGGGAGGAAGAAGGAAAGGCAGAGAAACATCGATGTGAGACAGAAACACTAATCAGTTGCCTCATGTACGTGCCCTGACTGGGGACTGAACCTGCAACCCAGGCATGTGTCCTGACTGGGAATTGAACCGGCAAGCTTTTGCTTTGTGGGATGACACCCAACCCACTGAGTCACACTGGTCAGGCTCATTACTCATTACTCTTTTTTTTAAGTTGTTTTTTTAAAAGATTTTATTTATTTATCTTTAGAGGGGAAGGGAAGAGAGGGAGAGAAATATCAATGTGTTCTTGCCTCTTGTGCGTCCCCTGCTGGGAACTGGCCTGCAACCCAGGCATGTGCCCTGACTGGGAATCAAACCGCAGTTGTTTGGTTCGTAGGCCTGCGCTCAATCCATTGAGCTACACTCGCCTGGGCCTCATTACTCTTAATATAAAAATAAATATAATCACAGAATATGACTACTTTGAATTTTTGAAAAATAGAAAACATATGAAAGAGTAACTTATAAATTATAGGATTTTAGCTCTTCAGAGTGGATGCAATCTATGACCCAGATCTAGGTCTAAGACATGATAGATCTCAGTGCTTCATTTCCCAAATGAAACATCTAAAGCACAAAGAGGTAAGAAGACTTGGTAGTTATAAAATTTACAAATTAGAGTTCTCCATTTTTAAAATCTTTTCACACAAAAAAGGAGTATTATGACCACAAATTAAATGGTATTTTATGTACGGTACATGGGGGTAGATATTTATCCTCATGTGAAAAGAGTCTGACACTCTGGCCAGTCCCTCTAGAGATGACAAAGCTGTCATCTTGAGGGTCGGGCAGAGTGCCTGTCATGTCTCTCTGGATTCATGTGAACTCTGGGTGAGATTTAAAGGATAATAGTATCATGATGCTTTGTCATTGGAGGGAAGGCAATGGTATTCATACACTTTTGGCTTTCTTCTTCCAGGACCTTCTCCCAACCTTGTAAGAGCGTTTTTACTTTATTTGATGAACCACAACTGAGTGCCTCCCTTAAGGACTAATTTAGTTATAATTCCACTGCTATTTGGGAAATAAGACATTTCTTTTAAAATTGCTTCTCTGAACTCTGACAGCAATTAGCATCACAGCTGAAGAATGTAGGACATTTAGATATCATTCACCCAAGTGGTTTTCAATCTTAAAAAATGAGTCACAGAACCCTTTTAAAAATACAACCTTCAACTTCACTAAAGGAAAGATGAAGAGACAAAGCAGGAGCCTCTGTGACTGAAGCAGAGGCGGAGTAGAGCAAAGAACCTGAAGATCCTGGAAACACAGTTTGAAAATGCTGGACTGGGTCATCTAAAAATTTTGTTGAACTTGAAGCAACATAATTGATCGAAACAAATTTAGCTTAACTACCCTCATTTCTGGACTCTGATTTCAGTTAGTGGGTCCGGGAAGTAAATAAAACAGAAGAAAAGAAGTGCGGAAAGAGGGAATGCAAGAAGGGTATAAGATAAAAAACAGCCACTTCTCCAAGGAGGACATACAGAGGGCCGAGAGACATATGAAAGGATGCTCAGCATCACTAGCCATCAGAGAGATGCAAATTAAAACCACCATGAGATACCACTTCACACTGGTCAGAATGGCCATCATAAACAAAGCAACAAACAAGTGTTGGAGATGTGTGGAGAAAAGGGAACCCTAGTGCACTGTTGGTGGGAATGCAGACTGGTGCAGCCACTGTGGAAAACAGTATGGAATATCCTCAGAAAACTAAAAGTGGAACTGCCTTTTGACCCAGCAAGTCCACTGCTGGGAATATACCCTAAGAATCCTGAAACACCAGTTCAAAAGAACCTATGCACCCCAATGTTCACAGCAGCACAATTTATAATAGCCAAGTGCAGGAAGTAGCCTTACTGCCCATCAGTAAATGAGTGGATCAATAAACTGTGGTACATTTACACAATGGAATACTATACCACAGGAAGAAAGGAGGAGCTCCTACCCTTCATGACATCATGGATGGAACTGGAGAACATTATGCTAAGTGAAGTAAGCCAGGCAGTGAAAGACAAATACCATATAATCTCACCTATAAGTAGAACCTAATTAACAAAACAAACATGTAAGCAAAATATAACCAAAGATATTGAAATAAAGAACAAACTGACAGTAACCAGAGGGGAGGGGGGAGGGAAATAATGTGGGAAAAAAGAGAAAGGGTCATAAACAAACATGTATAAAGGACCCATGGACAAAGCCAAAGGGGGGTAGGATTGTGGATAGGAGGTGGGGGTGGGTAGGTAGGGCAGGAAAAAGTGGTGGTGGGAAAATGAAGACAACTATATTCGAACATTTATATGAAAAAATGAAGAAGGAAGAAAGGGAGAAAGGAAAAAGACAGGAAGAGAGGGAGAGTAAGAGCAAGTACAGCAGCAGCAATTTCAGGATGTTATTGAAATAATGAAAAAATCTCTCTATAGAAAAATAGCAAGATGCTTCCAGTAACCCTGTTCCCATATTCTGCAATACAGTACCCTTTAGCTACTTCAAAAAGTTAAAGCTTTTTGAAGTTAAAGCTTAGTTATAAAAAGTTAAAGCTTAGTTATAAGGAATAATATTTTTAAATAATAATTCAGCTTTATTATTTTAAGTCTGAAGTTATTTCTGATTATGCTGATAATGATTCTTTTAACGTTATGTTTTATCTCTTATTGTTAAGACATTAATTCTCACGGAAACTAAAAAAAAGTGATAGATCTTAAGAACAGAAGTAATCGGGCTTCCAGGTGCTAGATTGTAATTAGTTAGTATTTAACTTACCCCTAAAAGTTTTGTAGTTATTTCAGGATGAAGATGTGTTACTATTAGGAGATATGGCATGTGATAGGAAATCAATGAAGTAAAGAATTTTATACAACTGTTTTCTAATTTACTTTTTTTTGTATTCTTTTTCCATTACCATTCAGTCTCCTTAGACTCCCCTTACCTCCTGCAATCACCACACTGTTGTCCATGAGTCCTTTTTCCATTTAATTTCTAGGGCAACTATCAATAAAACTCAAAACTAAAATAGAAAAGGAAGCATATTTGTTTTTCCAGTGCAGAGTGACCACAAATGCAAATTTTTTATAAAGAGAGGACAAAAATATTTTCATATGCTTATGTTACTTTGACTTAGTTTTTAGTAAAAACCTAAATGCATTTGTTAAATTCATGGCGACTTTTAGATATAAGGTATTATCTTGTTACACATTTTTACTCCTATAATTATAAAGCTAGCCTTAGCTAAATGTAAATTATGAGTTATTAGCAAAATGGAGGACTTTGAATATATTGAAAGGACAAGTAAGCAACTCATAAGAAGGACTTAAAATGAAAACACTTACCGACTGCTTCATGATCAGTGTGGTTCAGGTATTTTTTACACACGTAAGGTAGGGTGGCCTCACAGTCCCGACTTCTCCAGGCATTTGGCATAAATGAATTAAATGTTCCACAGTGATATTCAACAAATGGGTCAAAATTTATTTCTGAAATACAGTGGGAGGGTTTGATGTTAGAAGCAAAATCGGTTAGTTTAATATTGAAATGTCGTTTTAGCATCAAGGAAACAACCTTCTCTTTGGCATATACTGTGAATCCTTTACGATGTTTTGTTATACTTAAGGTTTTGCAGTTGAGCCCAGGTATGACAAGAAAATGACTTCCCAGAATAGACGGCAGCTGATTTTATTGTTTGAAAGTATAGAAATATTTTGCTCTTTGTGGCTATTTTTAAAACAGCTGACTAGAATCTAGGCTCTGAGCCACATCCTCCTGAAACCTTGGTTAAATGCACAGCTTACCTTCTTGGCCTCCATTTTCTTGTCTGGAAAAGCATTACAGGAATTAAGTCAGGATTAAAAATTTTTGTAAGCCACTTTCAAAATAACATGCTTTGTAAGTGTGTGGGCAAAGCTGCTGTTCCAGCTGAGGGAAGATGCTGCCTGTTGAAGATAAATCAAACCCTGCGGGTACCTGGGTTCCAGTTCAGATAGTTGAGCGGAGCTCTGTCAGACCACTGCCAGCCGGCATGCTCGTCCAGCTGATTCAGACCCATCCACACTTCGACTGCTCCCCTGCTTAAATGCTCTGAAATGAGCAGAAATATGGGGTTTCAAAAAAATCAGTGTTATATTTCCTCCTTGTTTTTCTATTTCTGGAGCACAGAGTCATAAATTAACTCCCGTCAAAGACAGAAAAGGGTTTAAGTGCTACTAACCCCACCCTGGTGCTTCAGGGTAAAAAGCCAGCCTCCCCTGGTCTTGAGAAGCACAACAGCCTCCCGCAGGCTCACTGATGGCAGCTCGGAAGTGTTATCTAAGCATCTATAAATGTGGCCTCTCAATGGTTGTCAATCCATCCAAGGATGCACGGCTACAATTCTGAGACCACCTAGTTTGTGTGCCCTTAGGGTTCTAGAAGGTGAGGAGGAAGTGTCCAGGGCCGCTCTGGGAAGTCTTTCTTTTCTCGCTGCACGTGACTGGTGACTTCAGCTTGGAGACTCAGGACTCCAGCTGAGGAGTCTGGGTCCAAGTGACCAGAGGACCCAGAGGGATTCACAATGCAAATGAGTCTTCAACTGTTTTCTGTCAGGCTGGCTCTGTGGCTCCTACACCTAAGCCCTGCGCCACAGCTCCTCCTGGTTTCATTCAATGCCATTTGGGTTATAAATGCTGTGTATAAACATGTGCGCTGACACGCTTGTGCAGAAAAATATGGTTATTAAAACTACAAAATGAAGAAAAATCTTTCGTGGTTTTTTACTTTCTGTGCACCTGAATTTAAGAAATTGTCCTAGAATAAACGTACTACAGTTACGATAAAATTTTGGGGGAAAAAGACTGTCAGAAACTTTTAGTGAAATTGACTAATTTTGTAACACTTTCAAATATTGCCACTTAATCTTATTTGTTTGTTTGTTTATTTAGATAACATTGGTTAATACAGTATATACATTTTAGGTGTACAACCTAAAAATTTGATATCTCCCTATGTTATTGCAATTAGTTAAGTTTCCATTCATCATCATCTATTTGACCTTCTTTACCCATTTAAACTTTTTATCTATAAAGGAGAGCAGTTTTCAAAAAGTACAATTTAAAAAAAGTACAGGAAAAAAGAGGAGAGCCTTGTTCTCTCCTGGTTCCTCTGCTTTGGAACCCGATTTATTTTGCACCAGCTGAAGGGGCCCTGCCTGACATGGAGACCCAGACAGATAAGAGTTATAAATAGGGTGACTGTATATCCCAGTTTGCCTGGAAAACTCATGGTTTATGTTGGTAGTTCCAGAGTAATCATGAACCACAACTGTTTTTACGCTCAAGAGTCTCAGTTTGGATGTCCACTGTATGGTCACCCAGGTTGTAGAGGTCAACGTATTCACCAACAAGGTTGCCGCTTTCTCTGTAATTGCATATTTCAATACAATAGTGACCAAGCAGAAGAATCTAAATAAGGACAGAGAAAAAGGTGCTTTATAATTCCAAGAGCCCGGGAAACTGAACAGAAACAGCATAAATTCATGGGCCCTGCCCTTCCAAATTCTGGAGGCATTAAGATAGAGTCTCTTCCTAATGTCGATTAGGTTAGTCCTTTCAATGGCTTTGATTAGATGACATCCTAATAAGAGGAGGTGGGCTGGAAGATGGACTCACAAGAGGAAGACATTTTCACATTTCATACGGACATAGGTATGAAGTGATATTTTCAAATAATCTACTTAAAATATTTAAATATTTGTTATTCTTAACTTAGAATTATTTTGAATACCCTCTGTGTAATTGTTTTAACAATATACATTAAAATCATTGAGCAATTTATAATCAGTGTTTAAAGGTACCTAAACAGTCTATTTTACTTTTAAAATTAAATTGGCTCGTAATTCTATAATAACAAACTCAAACCTAAATTCTTTGGGATATTTCTTGGCATCTGTGAGAGCTTTGGTAATTCCTTATACCATAATTAGTGTTCATCAGTGATGAGCAAGAAACAGTAGCCTATTGTCATCGAAAAATACCTTGATCAGAATGGGCTTCCCTATTATGAACAGATTTCTGTTTTCTTAAACAATCCCCAAAGTCTAATTATAGAATTGTGGTATTTAGATTAAAAACTTTGGTATTTTTTAACTGTTATTTAAGTTTTATGAGTAAGTCCAAACGCTCTTATTAGAAATCCTGGGGTCAAGACAGATCCAATTGTCATTCATATGTGGTGTGCAGAATTTTCTATGAAAACTATTACTGGCTAACAATGACTTTGGAAATGAGCGTTTTTCTGAAATATGATTCAAATCAGTTTCAATGATAATTTTCCACTTTTGCATGTCTGTGGGGGAAGGAGCAGAAATGCACTGTTTATGTATTTGTTAAATCTTTCTTGCAGACATTAATGATTTTCAGAAGTGTTAGGTGTGCTTCTGCTTTTACCCAGTGAATCTACTTCTACAAACTTACAGAAAAGTAATTGGAATCTATGCACAAAGTTGTGTGCAGGGATGGCTTGTGATGGCAACAAATAAAAACATAAATAATTATATCTATCTATTTATATTGTAGACATGGACAGATATTCATTATATAAAGATAAATAAGTGTGTTACCAAACTGTGTGTGTGGTTGTTAAATAGATAACACATATTGAATGTTTGTTGTGTGTACCAGGCATTTTTCTAAGACTTCACATGCGTCAGAACATGTAATCCACACTGCCAAGCTGTAGGCATTATTTTTATTTCCATTTGATAGAGGAAGGTAGTTGGGAAGCAGAGTGGTTAAATCTCTTGCTTGCATAGCCTTGCTAGTAAGTGGTAGAGATGGGATTCAAACCCAGGCAGGTGACTCTCGGGTCCCCACTCCTAACCACTGTGAAATAGCTGCCTCCTAATTTTATTCAGTACCATTTGTCAGAGATACTATGCATACCTGCATGCACCTGGGTTTTAGTTAAAAAACATGTTTCTCTCCAGATTGTGGAATTATGAGATGCTTATTTTTCTTCTTGTATACATGAAAATTTTAAATTATTCTAGAATAAACATGTACTACGTATGCAATACAATTTGAAAAAAGTGTCAGAAACTTTCAATGAAAGTGACAAATTTTGTGACACTTCTAAATGTTTCCAAAAGTTTTAAAAAGCTATATATATACATATACAAACACATTTACTCTTTAAAGGAGAAGTAAGAGGAGAGGTTAGGTGATAGTTGAGTCACAAGACCCAGCTCATTATCACAGTTCTTCTGACATCTTATATTATTCTCTTATAGCGTTAGTTACCATGTGTCTGCTTTTGCTTTTCTAGCTAAATTTTTAATTCTTTGGAATCCACCAGAAGGCCTATATGTACCTGTACACAGTGAGTAATAGGAAAGACCTTACTTGATAAATGACTTTATTATTTCTTAATGGGGACTGAATGGCTAAGATCTCTAGCAGACTTTGAAACTTAGGTGGTTGTGTGTTCCAGGCACTTGCTCGAGCTGCAAACTCTGGCTCCCTTGCTGGGGCCTCAGATGCTCTGCTCCAAGGAGGAGGAGATAAGGAACGTTGGGTGCCAAACCGAACGGCCTGGAGTTCAAGTCAAAATTCTGGGTGTAAGTTTGGATGGTACTAATAAAAGAAAAATATTTTCCAAGGAACTTTTTTTTCAGAACATACCTTTGCATGCATGGGTGTAATGGTTAAACCATTTTAATTATATCAATATCAATGTCCCCCTACTTACTCCTTATGAAGTTTTCTTCAGTCTCGTCTGCAATACTCAGTAAAGCACCTCCTTGCATCTGGCACGATGAATGGGCCTCGCTCCAGGAGAGAGAAGAAAGCAGGTTGAACTGGTAGCAAATGTGTGAATTGAGGTCCTTCTCCCAGACAGCATCACAGCCCACCTCTGCAGATGCTGGAAACAAAATCCATCAAAACATTGACTATAAGCTTATTTTATCGAACAGCAATATACTTCTAGGAGAAATTTGAATGGAATGATTTCAAATTGGAACCTCTAAAACTTCAGTGCCTTACTGATTCTTGACTAGGTCTCTGTGGTGAAATCTGCCTTGTTATCTCATTGGTAAACGCCTTCAAGATTTAAAGGAAAGTCTAGAAATTATTGATAAAGGAGCCCAGCTCCTTTCTGGGAAAATAGTAGAAACCATTTTTAAGAGAAGGGAATAGCAGTGAAGTATTTATGAAAATAACATCTGTGTTCTTTCGAAAGCAGTCATTAGAACTTTACACCAAAAGCTGCATGAATTTAAAGGTTTACCTGAGGTAGATGCAATGGTTGCTTCAAAGGCCCCCCACCAAAACACCAAAATGTTAGGGGGAAATAAAAGAGAGTTAAAATATGAGTCTATGGTAAACACAGTTTTCAATAAAAATTGAGAACAGGAAAACTGACAGTTTTAAAAAGTTGTTTCTCAGTCAAAAGGAAGAGAAGCAAAAGCTATTGTAAAACATGGACCAATGATTGCATAATATATTTAAAAGTAAATTTAATAAAGAATGAAATATGGATCCAAAATCTGAAGTTCATTAAAAATGAAGACCTAATTTAAATGCTTTTGCTAAAAGTTTAAACCAAAACCCAAGGTGAATTAAGCAGTTACAATAATTACCTGAAATCAAACTTAGTCAGGGAATTTCACTGTGACCCACGCTACAGCATGAATGTAAGTGATGGACAGTCATCTGTTAAAATCTAGAACAGCCTTTCCCCAGTGATCCACAGAATAATAACTTCTGGAAAACCCCTGATTTTCCCCAGGAAAATACAGGATACAATGGCTGTGTAGCCTCCTCTGAGAAATTCATAACATACATTAGCATCTTAAAAGCTCTGAGAAGTTCTGTAGTAAAGAACAGCTTAATTTTAGTTTAGCGTACTTCAAACTTATTTGACGATAAATTCTTTGTTTTCTTTTCCCATAATAGTTCGATGGCCTTGAGAAGGTAGAATGTTTTCATGTCTGTTTGCAGCATATAAACTGAGTTAGTTAACCAGACAGTATTAAGCCACATATAAATCTAAGGTTGTCTGTGGAGTTTCCTGACTGATACGTGTATTTATAGAAGAATATAAAATAGTAAAAGATTAGAAAACAAGGCTCTCACCAAGTAAAACTGATGAAAAGGAAGAGCAAAGGAGGAAATTTTCATACATCATTTTATACATCAACCCACATTTCGTACTTTGCCCTGGTGGCTGAAACTTCCTGACTGAGCTTGAATCCTTAGAGACTATCTTCAATTAAAATGCTAGGCCCTGCTGAAGATGGACAACACACTCAGTGTTATCAGACATGAGTTCATCACGTGTGACTGCTGAGGTCATGAAGGAGGAGTGGGGGATGTTTACAATTAAAGTGTGCATAAGAATCAGTTAGCTGGCCAGTAAAAAGAAATTGCAGATTCCATATTTTCAGTCTCAGAGATTCTGACTCAGGAAGACTGGGGTGGGATTCAGGAACCTGCATTAAACACACTCCTGATTTTCGGGCAATGGTCCATGAAACGAACCCTGGGAAACACGAGCTTAAAAACAACAACGACAAAGCCCTTCCTAGAAGGGGAGGTCTGAGTAGCCTTTAGAAGGCCAGTAAGGTGTGAGAAGCAGAGTTTAGGGGGAGGACGTCAGAAGGGGTGATCTGAGATGAGGAATGAGGCAGGAATACCCGCCTGTCACCTCCTGCCCTGAGGAGGGATTTGACCATGAGTCCTAATTACAAGCCTCTAGGACACAGCCTTGTAAATAAGAAAGGTGTGGCTGAAAGTCACTGCGAACGATCTTGTTCCCATTTTTGCCAAGAGTTGGGCCTATCCTTTCAGAGGACATGGATGGAGCTATGTGGACACAAGGTTTCGCAGTAGGTTGGTTCAATTCTATATCTTAAACAGTGAAGCGAGAGACTTGCTGGTGATTCTATCTGTACTGCAAATTATTTACATAGCTCAGTTTTCTTCAGTTTCCCTTGGTTTTGGATTATCTGTGCTGATTCTTCAGGTTAATTCCCCCTCTTCATTTCTCTCCCTCTCTCCTTCCCCTCTAAAGATAAATAAATAAAATCTAAAAAAATTATTAAAAAAAAGAAAGAAAACTTCTAATCAAATGTTTTCAACAGGTGCCCATATTCTTCTAACTTCATTTTGTCATTGAAATTTGGTTTTAACTAAAATATAAGAATTTGTACTTCTGCGCAGGCCAACACAAATCCTCTCTCTGCTTGTCTAGGTGGGCCGTGTATCAGTCGCTCCATGGATCTTACTGGCCGGTTGTATGGTAACAGGAGTAGAAATGCCACCCTGGACCAGGGTGCGGTGATGTGCTATACCGATCTCCCTTCAAGACTGAAGACCTCACTTCCCCAGATGCCAGGAGATACCTCTCAACGTTAAACCGTCTTCGAGCACCACCTTGGCTGAATTCTCTCTGCCCGACGTCAGTCTCCCTTCTCAAAGGCAGGCAACAAGCCCTGAGTGATCAGGGCAGGACTATAAGGCCCCTCTCTTCCAAACACGGGGCAAATCCAGCTTGAGAACACCTCAGAGGGTCAGTCAGGCCTGCATTCCAACCCTGCCCGGGACTTCTACCCTTCCTTCCACAGGGATTGAACCCCAAGAAACCCCCTGCAGTTCGTCATTCTCTGCCTCAGAGATTGTTCCCTAGGAGTCCCCTTGGTGCAGGCTTCCGTCTTGGCCTGGGGACTTTGCATGCATTTACTCTTAGGTCTTTTGCTTCTTCATATATAATCTCTCTTTCCAAGCCACTGAAAATGCAAGATTGAAGGCTTGTGTCTCATGTATATTTGAATTAAAAACTTTAAATGTAAGGGCTAGAATTACATTGTTACATTTCTTTGCAGCTTTCATTGTCTTTGTATGATCCCTTCTGTTGCTAAATTGTGAACTCCTTGAGGGAAGCAAGTGTGTTGTATATATCTTTGAATCTTCTATTACTCAGAGAAAAATTGCCCAAATCTTTCATATGATGTTATAAATACATAATTTTCCCCCTCTCAAATTACACCACTTTTTAAGTGAACTGAAGTATATTTTGGTCAGCACCGATTTTATCATGGACTATGGCTGAGATGCAGCCACTCCTCCTTCTCTATATATAAGAGAGCTCCTCCCCCTTCTTATTAACCCTAACCTCCCTCCCAGCGAGTCATATTGTCTTATTTTTCTTCCCTAAGGGTACAGCTTTGCCATTGGCCCAGGTGTATTGCCCTATTCCTGATCTTAGGAGGAAAGCATTCAGTCTTTTATCATTCAAGTATGTTGGTTGTGGGGTTTTTTTTTAGACAGGCTCTTTACCAGTTGAGGACGTCATGTTTTGGGTTTTTGAAGGAAGGAATGTGAAATTTTGTCAAAGTTTTCTGTATTGGTTAGATGATCATGTGGTTTTTGTCCTTTATCCTATCGATATGGGTATTACATTAATCGATTTCAGATTTGAAACCAATCTTGCATTCTGTGGATAAATTCCACTTGGTCATAGTGTGCAATTCTTTTTATATTATAGTTGCTGGGCTGTGTTTGCTAGAATTTTGTTGAAGATTTTTGCATCTGTAGTCATGAAAATATTGATCTGTACTTTGTTTTCTTGTGATGTCTTTGTCTGGTTTTGGTATCGGGGAAGCAGTGGCTTCACAGATTGATTTGGGAAGTGTCCCCTCCTTTTCCATTTACTTTTTAAGCCACTCAGTCAGCAACTAGAGGACATCTCGTCAAGGCCGTCAGTGACTTCCATATTGCCAATTGCGTCCAGCACTTTCAGACCTTGTCAAATCGGGCCCTTGAGCACCCTCCCTCTCCTTACCATAGATTCTAATTTTCTTGACTTCACATGCCTGGCCACCCACCTACCTCTACAGCCACCCCTTCTCAGCCTCCTTTGCTGGTTCTACTCAAGCTAAATGTTGAGGTCTTAAGATTCGGCCCTGAGTCCCCTTCCTTTTTATTTGTTACATGCTCTACACTATTTAACCCATTCCCATAAATGCCTTCCATATCACCTTCAAATATACAGAGACCTTTATATCTAACTGCTTAGACCACATTTTCACATGCTTGATTTACACAGATAGCATGTCTCAACCTGAATTCTTGGTTTTCTCTTCCAAATCTGTACCTGTAATTAACAGTTATGCATATTGGAAAGCTGGGGTCCTACGTAACACCTCACTTTCTCCCTTGTCCTCCAAGTCTGTCTTTACCAGTGGGGAGTTCAACTCCTGGTTAAAAACTTCTATGTAATTTTTTAAGCCTGACCATAAGCAATTACAAAGGCTTTACCTTGCTGGCCTCAGGTGGAAAGCTGCCCTTGCTACACCTGACTCCTCAGTACAGAGTGAAGTGTATGAACATCAATCAAATACTTACCCAGGTTGATATCCTAAAAATATCTCATACTAAATACACATGACTCTCTAGCTGTGTATGACATGGGCCAGGAGGGACCTAGCATGGCCCAGAATTGCCTTGAAAAAAACTCAGAGAGATCCTCAGAAACCATCCTTGTTCCTGAGGATCTATAGTGACATATGTTTTATCTCATCCTTCACTGCTAGTGTGTTTGTGTACGTGTTTGTTAATGCTAGATTTAAATTTCATTCACTTACAATCAACTTTTTAAAAAGGGCAGCATCATGTTACATCAAGATACTAAAAAAAAAAAACCTGTGTAAGATGAGATACAGAAATAGAAACCTTTATTTGATTCCACTCACTCCTGTCTGTCTTATCTACTATTGACTCGATGGAAAGAGCTTTCAGCTCATTCAAATTTCAGTCTCTGGCACATCATTTTGAGTTACATTGGCCAGAAATACTATGTAAAAAACCGAACTCTACACCGGAGCCAAAAAAAGAAAAGAAAAACAAGAAAGGGAGGAAACTGGTACTATAATTTAGCACTGTACAAATCAACATGCTCTCTGCTGGGGTGGCAAAGGTCAGGAGAGCTGGAGTCTGGCAGGTTGTGAAGCAGAGGAAGCCTTTGAGCTGTAGGAAGCTGAACAAATAGATATTCTTGAGAGTGAGAGGCCAGAGCACCACTGAACCCAGGCTTCCACCTGGGAGACCACAACTGGCTAAAAGTGACAATAGATGCTGACAGTGCTCTTGGCAAAACCTCGAGGAGAATATCGTAGTTTAAAAAAAATGTCCCTAGTATTAGGATCATGTGAAATACATGCTAATATTTTTGGTATTTATTTATTTATTTTTAATAAGGACATTTATTAGAGAGAAATGGAAAGAGAAGATGATGCAAATAATATGACATCTAATTCAGGAATCCAAGGAGTGTAGGGATTACACGCACATATATGAACATGCATGCATTCAGATTTAGACAGAGGAGGCTGATGATCTGATAGTATTGTCAATAAAGAAATACTTCATGCTGGTTGGTGAGCTGCTGTCCTGAGCTCCTTGAGTGCCCTTTGCTGCCTTAGGCTCTTTTCTCTCTTTCCCCTATACCTCTTCCCATTCCAGGTGCTAAGAGTTAAACAGCAGTAGTAGAAGTCTTAGATACCTAACTGTGATTAAGATCTCCACTTGGACTGGTCAATAGCCCATGCCATATTGTTGTTTAATGTCTTAATACCACCCCTGTATATTGACATATTTTGCATAGAATTACTTCTATATTATGAGTTATCCAATGAAGAATTATCTGCAGCAGGATTACCTTGGGCAAATGTTAAAAATGCAGATATATGGGTCCCACACACTGGACCCACTGCATCCTGTGGTAGGGGCGGGGAACAGGTGATTCTAGAGCATCCTATCAAATACACTCTGCATTTTTTGGCACAGAGCAAATCTGTCTGCCCTGTATTCCAACTAGATGCCAAGTTCTTTGAAGGAAGGGTCTTAAGTCCTAACATTCTTGATATTCACCACTACGCCTACCTAGCTTGGTGCCATTAACAGACAATAAAGAGGAAGGATCATTGACTTAGAAGTGTATGATGAAAAAAATAAGTTAGGTTTGAAGATGATGATGATGATGTATGGTTATCATTTGTCAGGTATTATGATAAGTATCTTAGAGGCATCATCTAATTGATTCCTCTCAATAACACTAATTGCACTGTTATAATCTCCATTTTACGGCAGGAAACCGAGACTAAAGATCTCTTCATTGGAAGGGAGAACTCCAATATTAGTCTCTCTGACTTCAAAGCTTATACCCTTTCTTGGGCTCTTAGATTAGAAAACAACTCTACAGATAATTTATCAGTCAAGCTCTTTGGAGTTAATATCTTCAATTTGCTTTTGTTTCATATTTATTTGTGTATTTTATTATATACACAAGGGAAGGTAGGAATAGAAGATGAGGAGATTGTAAAAGCTATATTCTCTGACTTGCAGGAACCAAGGTAAAGAAAATTGAATATAGACAATAAAAGTATATATAAATATGCCCCAATACCTAGAAACCACTATAAACATTTTGTATAAATAAAATAAAGTAGTAAAGTACCAACTGAAAAAAAGTTAGAATTGTCTGACCAAGATGGAGACATAGGTAGAAACACTTTCCTTCCTCGCACAACCAAAAGAAGGATAACTGATTTGAAAACAAAAACCCAACAGAACTGTCAGAAAGTCAAACTGCATGGAAGTCTGACAACCAAAGAGTTAAAGAAGAAGCCTTCGTCCTGACTGGTAGGAGGGACGGAGACTGGAAGCCAGGGCAAAGAGGATTCTCTGCAAGGCGGTAGCTGGCAGACAGGCTTTCTCACATTCGTGAGCAGATAAGCTGGGAGAAACAACTGTGGGAGCGAGACAAAGTGTGCAACCCAGGGGTCCAGCACACTTTAAGGAAATAAAGCCTTAAAAACTCTGGTTGTAGAAACCTGTGGGGGTTGTGACAGCGGGAGAAACTCCCAGTCTCACAGGAAAGTCCATTGGAGAGGCCCAGGGGATCCTAAAACATATACAAACCTACCCACCTGGGAATCAGCACCCAAAAGAGCACAATCTGCTTGTAGGAAATCAGGAAGGTGACAGAAAGTGGGGCAAGAGCCAGGCAAGCAAGCAAGCAGCATTGTTCCCTCTCGGACCCCTTCCTCACATACAGAGACACAACACAGCAAAGTGGGTTACTACACTCTGACGAGGAGCTAAGGCTCTGCCCCTTACAATGTAACAGGTGCACTGAGACAAAGGAATATGGCTCAAGTGAAAGAACAGATCAAAGCTGCAGAAAAAGAACTAAGTGACGAGGAGATAGACAACCTATAGGATGCAGAGTTCAAAACACTGGTAATCAGGATGCTCACAGAAATGACTGAGTTCAGTCACAAAATGAAGAAAGAAATGAAGGCTATACAAAGTAAAATAAAGAAAAATATACAGGAAACCAAGAGTGAAGGGATAGAAACCAGAACTCAAATCAATGATACGGAACAAAAGGAAGAAATATATATCCAACCAGAACGGAATGAGCAAGGATTCATAAAAATGAGGAGAATCTGAGGAACCTCCAGGACAACTTCAAATGCTTCAACATCCTAATCATAGGAGTGCCAGAAAGAGAAGAGAAAGAGCAAGAGATTGAAAATTTATTTGAGCAAATAATGAAGGAAAACTTCCCCAATCTGGTAAAGAATTAGATATACAAGTTCAGAATGTTTCAAGAGTCCAAAAAATGTTAGATCCAAGAAGAAACACACCAAAATATATCATAATTAAGTTATCCAAGGTTAAAGATAAGAAGAGAATCTTAAAAGTAGCAAAAGGAAAGGATAGACTTACCTACAAAGGAGTTCCCATAAAACTACCAGCTGATTTCTTAAAAGAAACCTTACAGGCAAGAAGGGGCAAGAAAGACAAATTTGAAGTCATGAAAGGCAATGCCCTACACCCAAGATTACTTTCTTCAGCTAAGGTATAATTTAAATGGAAGGGCAGATGAAGTGCTTCTCAGATAAGGTCAAGTTAAAGGAGTTCATTATTATCAAGCCCTTATTATATGAAATGTTAAAGGGACTTATCTAAGAAAAAGAAGGTAAAAAACTTTGAACAGTAAAATGATAACAAACTCACAACTATTAACAACTGAACCTACAAAAAAGCAAAACAAAAACTAAGCAAACAGTAGAACAGGAACAGAATCACAGAAATGGAATCACATGGAGGGTTAGCAGTGGGGAGGGGGAGAATGGGGAAAAAAGATACAGGGAATAAGAAGCATAAAAGGTAGGTAGAAAATAGGGGAGGTTAAGAATAATATAGGGAATGGAGAAGAAGCTAAAGAACATATATGTACAACCCATAGACATGAAATAAAAGTGGGGAGGATACTGGAGGGTGAGAGGGTACAGGGTGGAAGGGGACAAAGGGGAGAAAACATTGGGACAATTGTAATAGCATAATCAATAAAATATACTTAAAGAAGAAAAAGAAAAAAGTTAGAATATGCAGCTGTCATTAACTTGAAAGTCAAGTTAGAAAGAAGAAAAGATTTTGAGGTTATACCTAGAAATTGAGTCATAAGAAAAGGGAATTGAGATGAGAACTCGTTAAGGAATAATGAGGGCAACTGCCATTTTAGAAAAATCGCCAAGCAGCCGGCTGATGCCAGGACTTGACAGTGGCAGGAGAAGCCTTCTGGACTTAAAGAAATTAAGGCAGCTCATAAAAGCAAGTGGATTGAAAAGATAACTGAGCTTCATCTGCATGCATTTTTGTTTTTAAGTATTTTGTTGGAAGCTGGGGTTAATGAGATCACAGAGTATTAAAATTTGATTCTGGGCAAAGCATCCTTATATACTAAGCTTAATGAAGAATGTCTAATTAACATCTTTTGAATAGAAGGAAAAATGGAATATACATCAGGATTGTCCTTTCAAGGCAAAAACAAATGCAAAATCAAGTTTGGATAAATGGAATCAGAGTGCTTATTCAGACTTCACTATACCAATCCCAGTGCTCTTCTTTAGATACAGATAACCTTCCAATCATCCTTGATTCATTCGTGACACAGAGGAAGAGAAGATTTCACTCTTACTGGGATCAGGGCAAAATCCCCACTTCTCGTCCCTTTCATATCGGCTTGTTGTGGCGCACCACAGTAAGTTGTCTTCCCGCCCTTCCCGGGTACATTCATGATGCCACTCGTGGTTATACTGGAAGGGGAACATGCATGGTGTCCCGTGGCTGTTCCCTTTCAGAGTATACAGATCTAGGAGAAGAAAAGGACAAAGTCAAATAAATATTATGCCAGCTTGATTTTAATGACTGAAAACCTATAATGGGCAAAGCTCTTGCTGTACCACAGAGAACCCTCAGGACCTCACTGTCTAGAGAATGTTAGTATGCAAAACTGTGTGCTGGGTTCAGGGGTGTGCTCACAGATGGCGTGTTTATATATTTATCTGTTTGTTTATTAACTACGGTGCATTGGTACAGTAGCATACACAGATGTGAAAGGATGAGAAGAAAAATTGAATGGAGGTTTTACTTTAAAATGTCACTTGTACCAGTGATCAGCATCTGAACATCAAGAGCTTCATAGGCCTTTATTAACTTATTCATCCCGTAAATACTTATTGAGCATTTAATGTGCACAGCACCGAGGATATAACAATGGATAAATCAAAAGTTCCCCTTCAAAAAGGAGCTTCTCTTCTAGTGAGGAGAGACAAAAATAAAACAAATGCACTAGTAAATATAATTTCAGGGAATGATGAGTACCATGATGAAAAACAAAACAGTAGGAAGACAGAATGACTGTGTGTGTGTGTGTGTGTATGAAGGGGTACTATTTTGGATCAGGTGGTTAAAGAAGGCCGTTCTGAATAAGAATGAGGTGAATGAAGTGGGAGAGCAAGTATTTGGAAAAGGGTTGTCTGGAAGAGGGAAGAGCATGGGGGGAGCAAAGGGAAGCGGAGTCAGGGAGGTTCAGCGTCAGCGCACAGAGGCCTGCTGGCCACATTATGGACTTTGGTTTTTCTTCTTCTGAAGAAGAAAAGTCATTGTGAGAAGTCATGAGTGGGTTTTGGATGAGAAATTCACATGATCAGATTTCCATTTTTAAAGCCTCACGGGGGTGCAGTGTGGCAAACAGAACCCACCCATGAAGGGGGTAAAGAGGGAAGATGAGCTGGGAGGCCTCTGCAGTTTTAGAGAGACATGACAGTCAGTGCCCAGGGGGCTTGCTGGCTGTTTTCTCCATTATCATTGGCCTTAAGCAGGAAGCAACTTTTCATTACTCAACTGGGGCTTTCTGTGGTGACAGAGATCAGGGCCACCCTCAATCAGGGCTACCCTCAATTGATTGATCAGGGCCACTGTCAATCAATAAGTCTTAGAGGGAAAGGGCTGGCTGTGGAGATACCCACCCCTTCCACCCAATCAGCAGGGGCTGGACTGAACTCACTGGCATCACCAGCCCTAGAGGTTAAGGCTGTTTAAGAACCATTGGTATTTCAGGACTCATCCTCTCGTTTCGGTCCCTGCCTTCAACTCACCCTTTCCCTGCATGCATTACGAGTGTGAGTACGTAGCTAAAATGTTAATATAAAGCAAACTGTCATGTTCTCCTTGGAACCGTAGATTATTTGGAGAGCTGGTTTGCAGCACGTGCTTCATTTTAGTGAGTGCTAAAAATAGCCTGCTTTAGCTCTGTCTCTTTATTCATTTCTTGTAGGTACAGGATAAAGTCTTGCCTTGGCTCTGAGGAGTTCCTTGCTTTGCTTCCTAGGACTGGTATAGAGTTCTTAGAAAGATATGCTCTAACGCTACCGAGCCCCATGGAGGCAGGGACCACATCTGTCTTGCTGGCCTTTGTAAAGCAAATGCCTGGCTCTCTGCCTGAGGAGCAATCAGTGCTCAATAACTGTGTACTAGATCATGAAGAGATGGATGAAAGAATGAAGAGCACCACCAAACAAAACCTGAGAAACAGGTCTGGGGGATCATAATTTAACTGTGCTGCTCTCTTCTTTTCTTTTCTTTTTTACTGTTTATAAATGCCAAATATTACAGAACTGTGAAAATTAAAGCTTCCTCCTACCAAAACAAACAAACAAAAAACCAAACATGCTTTTCTATTCCTTGGCACACACCAAATAACCCCTGACAATAGTCTAACTTGTAACGTGACCATCGGGTGGACACTGGCAGGGCTTTGCAGGCACTGAGGTGCCTGTAGACACACTCCCTCCCGGGATGGAGTGTCTGCAACCAGAGAAACGGTGGCTGGAGGGATCCTCAAATTCGTCTTGCCAAGTCGTTACTTCCAAGATCTTTTCCTTCCACCACCATTTTCTCCTTTCCTCTCCTCCTCCTATACTTTCTCCTCTTTTCATTGATTCCCAAAGTTGTGTTTTCTCCTCTGGTACCTGAGAGCTTGTACTTTTTTAAGAGAATTCGGCAAGTCAAGTCCAAGACTCTAGTCATTCTTTTGCAATAAGTGATTAAGCATCTAAAATATATTTAGTGGAAGTCCCTTGAGGGTCTGGGTGCTGTGTATACCTTTTATATGATATATTTTACAAATCTTTATTACGTAAACATATTTAAACATATTACGTAAGTTTACATATTACGTAAACTTTCTAAACATATCATTTCATTAGTACTTGGTTAATTTTCTTTTTACCTTTGTGCAAATATTCACAAATGCCTCCACCTCCTGACAGGTAGGAAACCCACTTATGGAGATACTTCCGGGAGGCCACCAGCACGTTGCTCTTCGCCTGCACCAGGTACTGCAGTGGGCCGGCGATCATCTTCCTGTTGCAGCGCCACCTCAAGGAAACGTGGGTGGAATCGCACTCATATATGCTTAGCGGCTGCTCTGGATCAGATAAATTCAGACCCAGGCAACCGCTGCCTCCAGTGTTAAAGAGGCGATGGTTTGAAACCCATTTCCACATCATGTACTTGTTGGGTAGTTTGCAGTTCTCCAGAGTCAGTACAGATTTGCCTGCTTGAATGCATTTCTTGACGCTCTCACTTTGGATCACGAATATTCCTTTATCTGAAACAGCAAAATAAAAGATATGGTATGGGATTTTCATATGTAGATTATCCAGTGTCATGAGCATCCCAGTGTGCACGTGTTAAGTTGTGATATGTCACAGTTGGCAGCCATTTTGAACAGATCTGGAGTTGATGGGCAGGGTCCACCAGGAACATTTGTTTGCTCAAAACAGAGAAGTATCTTTGGAAGCAAAAATGGGCTCATTGAAGCTAATGGGAAACCTCTGATTTAAGACTTCCATGGCCCTACAGTAATGAAGGCTACCTGTCAATCCACTCAGAAATTTTACTGGTGGAGAAGGAGGTCTCCACAACTGGATGGGAAGCAGGCATTGGGAATAATACTCGGGGCTAGAGAAGAAAGACACTGGGTACCCAGAGGCATGGTGACATTTGGTTTTTTCCAGGTAAGTGCCTGAATATTAGGAACATGGCAGCTGGATCAAAAGCCACCAAAACAGAAGTTTCTACCATTTAGTTCCTATAGAAAATCCAAAAGATAGACATAAAGTACCCTTTGCGTCTTGATACAAGATGTCATACAGATGAGGAAAAAAATACTAGCTCACATTTACTTTTGTGTTAGACCCATGGGGAGTTGAAAAGTGGGCACCTTTGATATGGGAGTGCCCTCTTTGCAGGAGCAGCCTTGTTGTGTGGACCAGCAGGAGCGGAGAGACGCCCAGGACACTAGCTGAGGCCCCACGCTTAGATACATGAGAGGAGTAAGAGGGCCGAGATGGCAGCATAAGCACATAGGTCACGCAGATAAGTGGAAAAAGCAAGCGTTTTATGATATAGCCTTGAGCTTCCAACTTCCTGGAGCAGAAAAAGAGATTTGGGTGAATTTCCTCTGGAAAAGCTGGTAAAGCACAGCCAGGGAATATGTGTTAATTACGCGCCTGCTACACGATTCCACCTCAAGTCACGGGCTTGGAAGACACCTATTACACAACAATCCTGAATGTGTTCTCTCGAAGCATGGGCTATCCTGAGCTCATTGATTAAATACGCTGGCAGCTGCTGCCTAGGCCCTGGTACTCAGCCCAGAACGTCTGGTCAGGTCCAAGAGCTCATTTGTTCTCCTGTTAGCTAGGTTCTCCTCCTATATTTTACTTCCTGTCCAATGTTCAAATCTCTGAAGGAACATTATCAGGTTCCCTTGAAATAGCTGCAGTTTAGGAAAAGTTGTGTCATATAGCATGGGGATGGCAGGGACAGGCAAAGGCCAGCTAGAGATTTGAAACAGTGTGGAATGCGCCTCCTTACAGATCAGTGCATGGTGATAATGCGTTTTTTCCCATGCAACTGCCTACTCTGGAAACAGGCAGACCTGCTACAAACTACTCTTGTGACTTTGAGCAAATATCCTTTTCTTTTCTTTTTTTAAAAGATTATTTATTTACTTATATTTAGAGAGAGGGGACAGGAGGGAGAAATACAGGGAGAGAAACATCAATGTGTGGTTGCCTCTCACATGGCCCCCACTGGGGACCAGGCCCGCAACCCAGGCATGTTCCCCAACTGGAAATCGAACTGGCAACGCTTTGGTCTGCAGCCTGCACTCAATCCACTGCACTATACCAGCTGGGCAAATTTCTTGATCTCTGTAAGCCTCACCTTTCCTCTGTGAACTGGAAATATGTGTGATATTGGTCTCATAAGGTGTTGAGAGTATTTCATTAAAAACTACATGCAAAAGAATAAAAATAGACTACTATTTGTCCTCATACAAAAAATTAACTCACACTAGATCAAAGACCTAAATATAAGACCTGAAACAATAAATTACATCAAAGAAAACATAAGTGCTAAACTTATGGACCTTGGTCTTTGAGTGGATTTTATGAATTTAACTCCAAAGGCAGGGGAAGTAAAGGCAAAAATAAATGAATGGGACTATACCAAAATGAAAAGCTTGTGCACAGCAAAGGAAACTGCCAATAAAGCAAAAAAGCAATCAACCAAATGCAAGAAGATATTTGCAAACAACAGCTCTGACAAGGAGTTAATATCCAAAATGTATAAAGAACTCATCATACAACTCAACACCAAACAAACAATCTGATTAAAAAAAAAAATGGAAAGAGGGCCTAAACAGACACTTTCCCCAAGAAGACATACAAATGGCCAACAGATTTATGAAAAGATGCTCAACTTCACTACTATTAAGGAAATGCAAATCAAAACTACAGTGGGATACCACCTCATACCTGTTACAGGATATTATCAACAAGATGGGTAATAACAAGTGCAGGACAGGTTGTAGAGAAAAAGGACGCCTCATTCCCTGCTGGTTGAAATGTAAACTGCTACAGCCACCATGAAAAACATTATGAAGTTTTCTCAAAAAAAAAAAGAGAAAAAGAATAAATCTACTGTATGACCCAGAAGTCCCTCTTCTGGGCATCTATCCAAAAAATTTGAAAACATTTATTCACAAAGATATATGCACCACTATGTTTATTGTAGTATAACTCGTGGAACCTGAGCCATGGAAGTACCAATGTGTCTTCTGATAGATGATTGGATAAAGAAGATGTGGTACATATATACAATGGCATACTACTCAACCATAAAAAGATGAAATACTGCCACTTGCAACATTGGATGAATCTTGAGAATATTATGCTAAGCGAAATAAGTCAGATGTGAAATGTCAAGAACCATATGATATCACTCATGTGTGGGATATGAAACTGAAAGCAACAAGTGAGCAAACAAGGAAAATGAACAAAAACTCATAGACACAGACAACAGCATAGTGGTCACCAGAGGGAAGGGGGTTGAGAGATAATAAAGGGAAAATGTGTCAAATACATGGTGATGGAAGGAGATTTGACTTTGGATGGTGGGCACACAATGCAATATACAGGTAACGTATCATAGAGCCCTGCACTTGAAACCTGCATAAAATTTTATTAACAATGTCATACTCAGTATGTTTTATTTAAAGAAAAGAAAAAGAATATTCCATTAAATAATCCATGCAACACACACCACACACTACCTCGGCAAGGGAAGACCTCAGTAAATGGCAGTTGTTATTATTATCCCTCTGGGTTCCTGATTCCTGGTCTGTAGATCCAGCCACGGATTTGGTTGATCACTGTAGAGTGCTAATCTGAGCATCCCACAAAGAACATTCTTTCCCATCATTACAACGAAAGCTCATTTTTACTTTAGCTTCTGCTGCATACAGTGCATGCAGACTAACTAGTGTTAAGCAGTCATCAAATACCATAACATCACCTTTCAGGGAGAAGACAATACTCTTCAAACAACCAGGTAACAAAATTCTTGCCTCGTCTGTTCAAATATATGTGCAACTCTGAATTAAGATTCTTTCTTTGTTCATCTTTTATACTACCTGTTTATAAATTCTATATTGCTGCCTTTCTGTAGGAAAGAGAGAACATGATGTCAACAAGTAGTGTATGGAAAGGTGTAGTCTATAAGTAATTAGCCACGGAAATTAAATAGCACTAAAACTGAGAGCGAATCATGTTTTTAAAAGTCCAACTTATGAAGTGTTAAGAGAAAAGGAGGGAACTTCCATCATCACTCCAGTGATTGGAAAACTATCTTTCCAAAGCTGAAGATATTAGACAAACTTAATCCCATGCTGCGCAGTTCTGGGCTGCTCTTACCTTTCCATGCCCAGCGGCCTTTAGAATGTAACTTTGGAAAAGTTCTTCAGAGTGTGTCAAAACACGTAACTCTGGCTTAACAATAACAATAAACCTGTCATTTTCAAAAGAATACTATGTCATGCCAAGCTAAAAATGACCCAAGCCCACTTTCCATTAAGCTATAATAGAATCTAGTCCTAGCAGCATTACTCTACATAAATTCACTGAAGAGAAAACAACAGTTTTCAAATGGACTATGAAGAGACCAATATAGGTATCAATACTCTATTATTATATGCATGTATGGGTTGTCTGTAACAAGAGATAATGTGAAAATAAACCGCCATCCTTAGTGTCTGTAGCCAGACTTCAAAAAGGATGAAAATCAAATATGGGAGGAATCAAGATTGATTACATATGTCAAAGACATCAGTTCTGCTTGAACAGTGATTAAGTGATTAATGAAGTCCTGTCTGAATTACTAAATCTCTTCTCAGTAAAATGTTATTATACTTCCCTTCACGATCATAAGTTTAGGGGAAGAAAAAGGATGAACTTACTGGAAGTGACTTATAAACTAAATTTCATCTTTTTAAAAAACAAAATAAAACCCATGGAAGACAGTGGTTCTGCTTTCCACTTCTGAGATCTTTGTAGGAAGACATCATTTTGGACTCACCTTTTGGCGCCACAGGATAAGGTGTGCTTTTTTAAGGACTGGCAAGAGAATGCTTCCTTGATCAAGTGTAGAACTTAAGTTTAGGGTAGTCCATTCATGACCACATGTAGACCATTACTTTGTTCATTCATTCATTCTTTCAACAAGCATTTATTGGGTGCTGGATGTGTGGTAGGCATTGTGTAGAGTGCTAGAGATATAGAGAGAAATTATTTGCCATAATATACGTCCCTTAAAACTGTATCTATTTGTATGACTGTCTAACCACTGTATTGAAAGTAAATTGTAATTGAAAAATAAAAATAAATAAGGCCTCAAAAGTCCAATCTCTTCTCCTTTCACCAAACATTGACTACGGCCCAGGCAAATGCTCTTAAAATAAATGAGAACAGTCCTGGCTGGTGTGGCTCAGTTGACTGAGCATGATCCTGAGAACAGAACGGTCACTGGTTTGATTCTTGGTCCGGGGCTCACTATGTCTCTCACACATATTGATGTTCCTCTCCCTGTTCTCCTTCCTCCCCTCTCTCCAAAAGTAAAATACTACAAAAAGTGAAAACAGACAACAAATAAACAAAGACACTGTATCTATTTGTTCTGGAATCACGGGGATGCTCCTAGTTAATGAAATAGAGGGCTCCATCTTTTTAAAAAAAATTATAATTGCGTTAAAAAAACTCTTTGAAA